GGGAGGAATTGGGCATTGTTGCCAAAAATAAATGTTCCCTCTCCCGCTCCCTGGCTCCCGGCTCCCGCTCATTAGGATGCGTGGCGTTTGGCTGCGGTCCCACACCTTGCAGCTCATTATAAATATGCAGTCGCTGCTGGCGCTACCCCAATCATCTCTGCAATCAGAGCTTTTAATTAGGTTAATTAAATTGTATCAAATCTCGCAGGGACGCAGTTCACTGATGCTGATGAGGCAGCCAAAACAGACCCCAGCTCCTCCGCTAATGAAGGCCGCTGCCTGCCTGAGCAGTGAGAGAGCAGGAGCGCATAATAAACGGGCACATCCTCTGGGAGGAGCTGCTGCCCAGACCCTGTGCTCTGGGGACCTGGGAGGGGTCTGCATCAAGCAGGCCTGGCTCCTGCTGCAGCAGAGTCTCCCACCCCAGGGACCATCACTGGAGAACTAGGCAGCGCAGCACCAAGAACCTGGGCAGGTGGGCAGTGTTGGGGCCTGAGCACCTGCCACCCCTACTCAGAAAACGTGAGTGTGCCCAAGATCCACTGGCTCCATCTGGGGTCTCCCACTTACTTCACCCCTAGAATGGCCCAACAAGTCTGGGACTTCCTGTCCTACACACACACACACACACACACACACACACACACACACACACACACACGGTTAGCCCTGTCACCACCTCTCCAGTTGTCTTATTAGCCAGAGAGGCCAGGCTGAGACTGGAAAGGCTGGGCAGCCACTGCTGGCCTAGTCTCCATCTGCCATGGAGGCCATCTGCCCCTGGCGGGGGGTGGTTTAGAATGCAACCACCCAGGAATAGGAGGGAGTACCACCCCCCAGCTTCCATATGCCAGATGGACCCTGTATTTCTCGACCTAAAGAGCCCTCCTGAGGGAGGACACTTGTCCCAGTCCTCCAGGGATCAAATTATGTAGGGAAGGGAGACAGCCCCTTCCTCTTCTCTGGTCCCTGCCCATCCTGAGCTGTCCCATGCCCTGGCAATCCACCACTGGCACTGAAGACCACAGGCTCCACAGCTGGAGGGCCCTGCAAAGGTCCTCCCTCCCCTGAGGCAGGAAGACAGATGCTGCCATCTCAAAAGGGGCTGTCCCTAACACTACTAAGCCTGCCTCCAGCCTCCTCCTCTTAACCCCTCAGTCTCTGGTCTCAGTGTTTCTAAGCAGATAAGGAGAGAAGATGGGGAAATTTTCAGTGCTCTCAGGACAAGTAGTTTCTGCTGCAGAAGCTAGTTTTCTGGTTTAGAAAGGCTTTTTTTTTTCCACCCAGTAATGTGAAAACATGAAACCCGAAACCAACCCCCCACATTCATCACCTCAGAGAAGCCTTTGGGGTAACTGGGAGAAAGCTGTAAATGAGTCAGGCTGATTCAGGGCAGGGGGGTGCTGCCCAGCTGCCTCAGGGCACCATGGTTTCATTAACACTTATGATCTGAGCATGGTTATCAGGTGACAGAGGAAAGGGCTTCCTTCCCACCTTCCTCTTAGCCCTGAACATTGCAGTCCCCTGCCTAGAAAGTAGCTGGGGCCTTGCTTCTCTTCCGGACCAGCCTCTACCAGCATTCTAGAGGGGCAGAGACTCCAGACTATACAGCTGCCCAGCACCCAGGTGCTCCCTTGCGTGAGAGGAGGTGACTGTTGCCATCACAGGGCCGACTGAAGCAGACAACATGGACAGGGAGATCTGCGACCGTGGGAACAGGACTTCCCAAATGTCACGGTGGGTCCAGGAAGCACAAGCAGTGAGATTCCTTATACGGAGTCTGAAGAAACAGATGTTTTTCTCCTGACCAGCGCCTTTTAGGGAAAAGCAAGTAGAAGCATGAACTGGGCTGCCTCTTCTACTCTCGTTAAGTCTCAGTGCTGGACTTAGGTTTACTTTTTGTTTGTTGCCATGCTGAGGATGGAACCCAGGCCTTTCCCATGCTAGGCAAGAGCTCTACCAACAGTATGTCCCCAGCCAAGGACTTAGGAACAGAAGCTCTGCCTTGTCTGGTTTTGCAGCTATTCTCTCATTCTCCCCTCTACCCTTAGGGCCAGTGGAAGACCTGCCAGCAGGAAGGCCCCATGACCTGGCTGGCTAGAGACAACGCACCCTCTGACCCCACGAGGCAGCTGCACAAGCCCAAGGAACCTGCCAGCTCAGCCTTGAGACAGGATTTCAGGTCGGCCCCCAATTCTTCCACTCACCCGAGGCTTCAGGCCAGGACACCCACCCAAGGTTCTACCCGCCCTTCCCCAACAACCTTTGCAGGAGGCTCCAGGTACTGGCTAGCCAAAGGCTTGAGGAGGAAGAGGGCCCAGCACCACATAGCTACTTGCCTCACTGTTTCAAGTCCCAACAGGTCCTGGCCTCACCAGCCTCCACAGGCAGGCAGAGCAAGCTGTCTTTTGGCTACCTTCCCTGCTGGAAGACATGCAGCTATAATTGTTCAGTGCTCCACAGCCAACAGTACCAGAGATCAGCAAGCCACAGACCAACCCTCAAAAATGCACGGAGGAGGGCCAGGGACTGAGCTCAGTGGCACCGCTCCTGCCTTACAAGAACAAGGTCCTGAGTTCACTACCCAGTACCAAAAAAAAACAAAAAAAAAATGCATAGAGGGAGACCCCTACCATTTCCCGGTGGAATCACCCTGTGGGAAGCCTAAAGCTCTGTGACAGAGCCCTAAGCAAGACCTCAGCGCTCCCTACACAGTCCTTACTAGAAATGGGAAAGACTTTCTTTCCCATTCATCTTGGGGCCACCATGAATCTTAAGCTCCAAGGGAGAAGAATCTCCTTTATTAATGAGGGCTCTTCCCCATGGCATCAAACTCATAAATAAATCCACACTAAGCACCTCCAGAGAACATGCAGCTTTGACAGAAGCAAAGTGAGTTAAGTGGGTGGACACCAGCTTGCTGAAACCTAAACCCAGCAAAGGGGCAGCAGCTCCACCTGCTGGGCCCTTTCCCACCATCACCAGGAATCAGTTCCTTCTAAATACAGGAATCAAAGCTTGTTCCTTGAGAATAAAGGGCTTGACTCTCCTTTGTCAAAAGGGCCCTAAAATGAGGCCACCAACTAAGACTGAGCTGGGCTGCCTCTTGGACACACCAAGGGGTTTCACGGGGTCCATACAGCCGCTGCTTTGGAGATGTTTTATGCAAGACACTTGAACCAAACGAGAGTCCTGACTCACAGAGAAGTGCTCTACTCTGCAGGCTGCCTGGTCCTCTTGCCACAGCCAGAGTGATATGTTATGAATAGCCCAAACCATCCTGTGAGCCTAGAGAGGTGGGTTCTGAGAAAATATATTTTCCCTTTCCCAGTGAGCCAGGAATCTGGAATGCCAGAGTTCCAAAGATGCAAACCCCTGGCCTAGTCTAAGGACGTGAGGCTGGAGTTTGTTGTGGGTAGCCAGCCTCTTCCATTAGAATTTTCAGATCCCAGAGACAGCCCTGTGTTACAGAAATTGAGGTTACCTAGCCTCATCCCCTTACCCGACCAAGATAAGGGGCTTTTCTGTTCCTCTTGGCCTGTGCACATGCCTTTAAGTGTCCTTGTTTGTGTCTGAGAGGACAGGTAAGTGTGCCTGTACCTGTTTGAGACCTGAGTCATACGTGCCTTGAGCATCTGTTAATGTGAGTCTGTAGAGCACGCGTACCCGTGTGGGTGTGCACTTCATGAGAAGGCCTTCAGGTACACACCCTATCCTCTCGCCACTCCTACTGAGCAGGGCCAGAAGTCAGAGCAGCAGGACCCAGCTGCTGAACCTAGGAACAGATCACTGCTGAGTCTTTCTGCTCCTAAGTGTGTAACTGTATGAGATTTCTTTCATGAACCATTTGAAAATTCTCTCACTCCAGTAAGTCCCTCTCAAACTCTAACATCCCTGTGACACATCCCTTCCCTGGTTTGGGACTCAAGTCTCCTAAGACAAGCAGCATCAGCTGAGTTCAGCACCTCCCCAGAAGGAAGTTCAGGCTGGGAGCACTTCTTTCCTGAAGGAAAAAGCTGCTATCTTCTGTACCTCTAGCCCTTACTTCCCAAGACTCCCAGATCTGAATCCACTGGGTACACTACAAGGGGAAAAAACTTCATTTTACTTTAGGTTATATACAGGAACCTAATAATCATGGGTACTTACTAAGTATTAACAATATTTTTTTCAATCTTTCAAATCCATGCACGGCTATTGCTGAGAGGGTGAAGTTGAGCAAGCCTCCCAGAGCCTTGGTCCCCTGTGCTGTTCTCCCACGTGTACTCTAAGCATGCTCAGTCTTGTTCCAACTGGCGCTGGCCTATATCCCTATATGGGCAAGGAAAGGAAGGGTGGGACCCTGGGAAGAAAAGGAAGCTGCCCCACAGGGCTTGGGTCTGTATTCTCAGGGTGAAGCCACCCACAGCTTTGGAATCATGCGTGATCAAGGGGCAGAAACAGCCAGTTCTAATATATTCTGATTTGAGCTCCATCCATGAAGAATTGGTGTCCCTGAGAGTTCTTAGCTCTAAGGGTTTCTACCTTTATGTAAGGCATAAGAAAAATATTTATCCTGGGGTAATTTATGAAGGCACCTGAATCACCAACAGAAGAGTGAATGAAGATAAAATCAAGTTTATCCACTGGATAAAACATTAGACAATCATAAAAATGTCTTTTAATTTTCACTATGAATATATTACTTTTGAAAAATTCAATGATATAACAGAAATAATTTAATTAAAATTAGGATATAAAACTATTTAAATTAGAGCTACAAAAAATATAAATAAAATCTAATGTACAGCTTTATAAAATGAAGAAAATAAACCAGAATGCTCATAGAAGTTGTTCACCTCAGTAGTTCTAGCTTCCAGTATGCAATAATTAGTTGTTGTTCTTGAATAAGTATTGAAATTAGAAGTGAATTCATCTATTTTCTACTTTGTTGTAATGAGGTCGTGTAACTTTCATAGTGAAAAAAATGTAAATATTGTATAACAAAAAAGACTATTTCACAAACCAAAAACAGTGACATGGGAAAGGGGTTTTAATACTGCTCACAGAAAGACATCAAATATTAGATCATCAATAAATCATGGTTATACACACACAAAAAAACATGCCATTTGAACTAATAGAATTTGGAATTATCAAAAATGGAATTATTTTTGATGCAGAACGGGAAGGCTTATCTATAAAATTCAGCGTTTCCGACGAGACTGAAACTTGTAAATGGCTGGACCGTTCACTGTTTCTTTCTTCACCTTCACCTTCTGAGTCTTATCCTATAAAAAAATTAAAAGAGTAAGATGATCAATCAGTAAACAGAAGGTTTTATAAAATAGAAAGGTTAATAAACTACTGATTAGGAAGCCTCTCCTACAGCCCTTCTCAAAGCTTGGAAGAGCCAGAGCTTGCTGTGCTATGCATCCACTGTACACACTGCCTTAACTTTCCTTCTGAACATCGACAACGCTGTAAGTAATTACCGTCCTTGGAAAAATTAGAGGTGTCCAAATAATTTTTTTATTTAAAATTATAATTTTAATTATCTCACGGAACCCCAGTTGAGAAAGGCTGACCTAAATGATCTGCAAGGCTAAAGAATTTGACATTTAAAGGAATGATAAGATGAAAGGCATCTTATATTCCTTAGCTCTGCTATTTAACTACACAATGTTGTCTATTTTTAAACACCAATGAGTGACATGCACTGTTTTGTTAACCTGTTTAAATGTTACGGGAGCTGCTCATAAGCTATAAAGTTCATATGCTACCCGATCCTACCCTTTGCTGTTCCAAGGCACTGACTAATAACCCCCTTATTACCTTCTTAATCAAGGAACATTTCAACACTGTCAGGGCAATAGACACTGGCTCAAACCACTGCCCCTGAGGAGCAGACATTTTCACTGGGTTGATTTACACACAGCTGAAATCCAGTTTCAGTTAAGACCTTTACAAGAAAAAAAGAAAAAAAAAACAAAGAGAAAGCCTAAGGCTCTCTCTCCTCACCATAAGATCTTTGCGAGTTTGAATTTTCTGTGCAATAATGAACAATTTCTTCTCTCGTTCAATCCGCTGTGTCAGGCAGTTATACTGCTTTTGTCTTTCTTTAGCTATCCGCTATAGAAGAAACATATCTTTTCAGTAAAACAATTAACAAGACAAACAAATGAATAAGAAACTGATTTTGGGGTTTTTTTTGGGGTTTGTTTTTTTTTTGTTTTTTTTTGTTTTTTTTTGGTACTGGGAGTTGATCTCAGGATCCTAGGCTTTCAAGGCAGGCAGCGGAACCACTGAGCTAAATCCCTGGCCCAAGAAACTGATTCTTAAATCACTTAATCCCAAATGCATAGTTTCATCAATCCCTCCTTACCCCAGAATCAACATAAGGTAATTAGAAGTTGTCAACTTTAGGGACATCACATTCTAGAGCTGAAAGAAACCTTGAAAACAATCTTATCAAAACCTGTCACCACAAATGCAGAATGAGGGAGACCTGGAAAAAAATAACTGGCCCAAGGGCACTTGGCTCCCTTGGAGCACAGTCAGGACTGTCCTGAGTCTCCCAGATTCCAGGAATGTTTCCACTACTATTCTTAAGCTGCTTCAACCTTTGTGTCAGTCACCTGAGCTGGTGGCAAGAACACACCAGTGAATAGAGAGCAAGGGAGGCTACTAGGCAGTGGGCTGGTGCCTGAGAATCAGAATTCAGAAAGCAGGATTCTCCCAGTAGGAGCTGACCAGAGCATCTGTACTGCTAATGACTCCTTAAAAACTAGTTGGGGTCTGGGGATGGGTTTTTAGCTCAGCAGTGCCACACCTGCCATGCAAGTGCAAGGAACTGAGTTCAATCCCCAGTACCAGGAAAAAAAATAAAAAATAAAAAAATAAACTGACGGGGCCTTTACCATACACTTCTAAGAAACAGAGGAAAGCTACAAATTCTTTCTTGAGATAACATACAAATTGAGTAGCCCTCATCCCAAATGCTTGGGACCAGAATGTTTTGGATTTCAAATTTTGGGAAGTTTTAGGATATCTGCATCAATCACATATCTTGGGGAGGAGACCCAAGCCTAAGGATGAAATTCATTTATATTTCAATACCCTTTATACATGCAGTCTGATGATAATTTTAAACAGTATTTTTAGTGTGCCTACATTTTGGGGTTTTTTGGATTTTTTTTTTTTTTTGGTACCGGAGATCGAATTTGGGACCTTGTGCTGGCCAGGCAGGCGGCGGAACCATTGAGCTAAATCCCGGCCCCTGTGTGCCTACATTTTGACTGTGACCATCCAACAAGGTCAGGTGAGGACATTTCCCACCTGTGGCATCTCATCAGCACTCAACATGTTTCAAATGTTGGAGCGTTCTGTATTTTATAGTTTTGGATTAGGAATATTCAACCTGTATATACCTATTTGTACAAAACAGGGGTGTTCACAGACCTCATAAAGCCCATCATGGACTGTTCACCCCTTTCAAGTTATAGACTTACATTTCATCCACCAACTGTCTCTTTAAAAAAGTAATTTTGCAGGCAGGGATTTAGCTCAGTGGTTCTGCCTACCACCTGCCTTGTAAGCACAAGGACCCGAGTTTAATCCCCAGTACCAAATAATAATAATAATAACAATAACAACAACAACAAAATAATTCTGCTTTACATAAAAATGAATGAAACATTACTAGACAAAAATGGCAAGATCTAAATCTTCTTCACTTCTCAAGAGTTAAGAGGGTGAACTATTCTACATAGCAGTTTGGAATACTAACCTCCTTAGGTACTACCACAAAATGCTTGGAAGTGTCAGTGACTCAGCTAATTGAAAATACAATTAATTGACAATCAGAGTTAACACAAGAACACTAGTCAGCCAGCTCCTCAGCTGGAAGTGTAACTACATAACGGGAAATATTATTGGGCCTCAGATTTCAACAATTCACCGATTCTAGCATAGTCTCACAGCAGTGGTTTCAGACAGCTTTTGTTTTCACTTTATTGCACAGACTGTGAAATTTATGGGATTACCCAATATAGTCAAACTAATTAGGGGTATTTATATTACTAAAGCAAGTTTAGCTGCCTCTGAGCTAGAGAAAACTGCTGTGAAATTAAACATTGGAAGCAAAACTGATGCGGTGTAAATGATTCAAATCAAAACAGAACAGCTGTCTACTCGAAACACACTGACAGCATTTTTTAAAAAATGAATCAGTCAGAAGTGAGAGTTCAACTCCAGAAGGCTTTGAGAAAAGCACGTCTTCTCCACAACCCAGTTAGTGATGGAAAGCACCATAAGGAAAAGTCAGTAAGAAATTTTGGTTATAAATGCATATAATAAGGGTATTCATTGCTAAAAGTTTAGTATCAAAGCTCTGTATATAACATCACTAAATCTTCTATGTCCCCTCCTTGCTTGGCAATTTTTAAATGTGGGCATCTGTTTCAAGTATTAAAAACATAAAGAACAGGAAGAGAGCTGGGATTCAAACCCAGAGATAATGGCCAGAGCCTAAACTCCTGACCAGTACAGTACACCATATACCCTCCAGCACACCATCAGGTAAGCCCTTCCGTTGCTCTCTACTCTCAGTCCCAATCATCAAATCCTCTTTCCATTTTTCTAAGGAAACTCAAGAAGTTTTCTACAGATAAGTATATAAAACGCAATGGGGAGAAAAAAAAAAGAACCAAACTTCTAACTGTATAACAATGGAGAAAATTACCTTCAGTCGAGTCTGATGGGTAATTCCTTTCACTTTTTCCTTCTGCAAGGTCTCTATTTTGGGTCTGTTAAAGACTCTGTCAACTAGTTCCGGGGCTGTCTGCAGGTGAGTGGCAATATCAAACTGTTCAACTAAAATTCAAGATAATCCTTAAGTCACTATCTGTTCCAAATGACAAAGAGTGACATAGTAGACTTGCCCAGAAACCATCAAACATTTCATACCTTCTTTTTTGGTGTCAAAAAAGAACACATGCTTATTCTGTTGCTTCCCCCGGAAATCCAGCAGATGGAGCTCTGATTTTAGTCTTTCAATTTTCTAGAATACAGAATATCTCACTTAAAATTGGTTTCTTCTAGAGTGTCAGAAATAAATTTACAAACGTTGAGATCACTTCACATCATTATTGCCAACCAGAAGGAATTTCATTCTTTTAAAAGGAAGAACCACTAAAATGTATCAAGTATCATCTATATGTCCTTGTACTGGGTGAGGAATTCCAAAAAACTCACCCAATCCTTACAACAATCCTATGAAATGGAAATGAAAGAAAAGCTTCAAAAAGATTAATTTACCCATCATCATGGGGCAAGTAAACAGCAGAGCCAAAATTTAACCTGTGTGCCATTCTCAAACTTGAACTCTTTATTCTACTATGCTGACTAAACTTCTAAATCATTACCACAATGAACTGTACTTTAAGATTATAAACGCCAGAAGAAATCAACTGTTAACTGAAAACTGACAGGCTTATGTTCCTTTCTTAACCAATAAAAAATATAACAGAACAAAGAGTTGTTACCTTAGCTTCTGCAATCCTTTTCATTTCTATATATTTGACATCCTGAGTTTTCATTAGCTTTAGCTGTTCTGGAGTAACTTCTTCCTTAGTTTCCTTAATAACATGAACTCCATCCTAAAATCCAAATTTAAAAAACACATTTCCTATTAGAATAAAATCAATAAGCTGTTGGCATAGAGCTTGTGGTTAGAAAAAATGACCAAATGTTGCATGGTAACAGTGATCCAAGATTGTTGGACCTACGTTCAGTGCATCTCCAGCCATCTACTTAGAACAGCTTTAGACATAAAACAAATCAAGATATAGAAGGTGCCAGGCATGGTGGCACACGCCTGTAATGCCAGCACCAGGAAGGCTGAAGCAGCAGGATCACCACAAGTTCCTGGACTACATAGTGAGATCCTGTCCCAAAACAAGAACAAAAAAAAAGACACAAGAGAAATGTATGGTGCTCAAGAAGAGGCAGATCTGTGCTGGATTCTAACCAAGAGTACTTGAACCAACTGGAAAAGTGTTAAATTAAAGCCCAGAATCCTTCCTCTCCGTCTCCTTCCCTGTCCTCATAGTCCAACACTTGGGTCTTGAAACACCAACTGATCCATCAGAAACCCACCTGGAGCTTAACCCGAGTCATTTTATAGTAGAATTCATCTGGATTTTTTTCAAGAGCTTTCTTCCGAAGAGCTTTGAGGAATTCTTGCTTTTTATGATAGTCACTAAAAAAGCAGATGAAATAAGGTTCATTGAAACACATACACTGAGAAAACTTTACAAGCATCTAAAAGTTCACATAAAATGAAATTCAAAAACACCAAAGCAATGACTGGAGCTGACCCATGTTCCACTCTCACTGAAGTAGGTTCATGTCTCTATAGTCCACGATCCATAGTCCACTTTTATCCTAATCGTACCTAAAATCAACTGTCCCCATCCCACATTTGTCTTAGCGCCACTAATATCATTATGGGGAGACACACACACGCATGCACACACACACAAAAGGACAAAACTCAGGCAGTGTTCTGGCACAAGTTTCATAAACAAATAACCACTATGAGTCAGAAACTACACAGTCACAGTACCATGTAGCACAATGACTAGAATGGTGGACTTTGGAGCCACAACATCGGTTCAAATCTACAGTCTGGTTGAGTAACCCTGGGTAAGATAGTTAAACATCTCTATCCCAATTTCATGTGGAAAAATGAGTATAGTCCCACAAACTACCCCCAAAAGGTTGTCGGGATGAGTGTAAAACCTGGAAATCTACAACACTGCTTGGCACAATTATAGCACTCAAGGATTACTATTAGCCTCAAAAATCTCTGGAACCTCCAGAAAACCACTTAATCCATCAACACCATCCACACAAACAGCATAAGAAAAGGCATCAGCTGATATGTATCACTAACAAATAATTAAATATTTTTCAAATGAAATGCTAAAGAAAAAAGAATGAGCATAATTGTTTTATAAAACGTTTTCAGAGTTCATTATCACCCACGCTCAGTCTCATGAATCCATCTTTCACATCTTTTCATTCCACACCACAACATGTGATATAAGAGACTCAATGAATGGAGATTTAGATTATATCTTACACTTCAAGAAAAGGCAGAAAAATTCAGCTTTGGTTCAAACACCAAGGCAGAGGCAAATCAAAGCCACCATAAGAAAATTTTCTGGAGCAACATGATAAAAAAGACTTACGATGCAACTAGTTAAATAAATAATGCTCTATCTAAACAAAGGGAGATGTTTAGAGTCATAGAAAAATAGCCAACAGGCTGCCAGAGCTTTGGCCCTTTTATCAATGGTAGGAAATTATTCCCTGTGAGACACTTGGACACTTCAGCCGAGGTCTGGAATGTTGTAAGCTTTCTTGGCAGCACCTCTACCAGAAAGACTAGACTCACTCTGCCCGAAGTTTGTAATCTTTCTTTTTCTCCAACAGGCCCAGATGTTTTCGAAAGCCAGGCTAAAAGATAAAAGAAAAAACAGCACTTAGTTTCCTCAGCAAACACATGCTCAAATCAACACAACACCTGATGGGAACAAGAGCCTCTGGAGTGCTTGGTAAATCCATGTCCTTGGAGCCAACTCACTACCCTGTTCCTCCCCCTCCTCCCTCCTGGGCTCTGCCCAAAGATGAGAGGGACCGTGCAGGCGCCAGGCAGGTCATAGCACTCTCATAGTATGTTTCTTGGCCTATTAAGGACAGGGAGAGGCAACAATGACTCTGCACTAACCAAGCAGTTGCCAGTTGTACTAAAATTACTACCACCTTAATCCAAGGGTTTACAAAATACTACTAAGGGAAAACATAGTCACAAACAGGCAACTGTGGTAAGGGAGTTAAATTTAGAATCTGGAGACCTGGGATCAAAATCTAAACTTTACCTTTTAATCTGTGACCTTGAACAAGGCACTTAACTTCTCTGAGCTGTTTCCTGGATGTGAATTAATAACAACAGTACTTTGTAAAGTTATTGTAAGGATTCAATGTTCTTCTGTAAATGGTAGCATCTGCACATGGCCTGTCACACAGCAGGTACCCAGCATGTTTACTGTTGCTACTGTACCTTTGGTACAAGGTATGAGAGAAAAGCAAGCATGACAGTAGATTCTCTGACACAATTATGGATAACCTGGAGGATTCAAAGGTTAAATGTTTGTATCATCTTTCTACAAGCTACTACATGTTGAACACAATCTATTCCAGGGTCTGTACTAGATGCTTTTCTTTACATTAACTTCATGGGCCATACTTACTAGGCTATTACTTTGTTACAAAGCAATATGCTATCCTCATTACACAATCTCACTTCATTCTCACAAGAATCAGAAAGAGTACACCAATTTTCCAGAAGGAGGATGAAGTTTAGAGAAGGATACAGCGCCAGTGAGTAATAAAGCTAAAACTAGAACCCATTCTGTCTGGGGCCACAGTGTGTGCTTTTCTGCACACCACTAGAGTGTATCTTTTGCTCAGAACAATTTTTACCTCCGAGGAATAAATTTACTTAATAATTTTAGTGGAATTTTTAACAGTCACCTTTGTCATCTTTTATCTTTCAAATGATACAATAACTCAGTATTTAAAATAACATCCAAAGCCAGGCGTGGTGGCGCACGCCTGTAATCCCAGCACTCTGGAGGCTGAGGCAGGAGGATCGATGTGAATTCAAGACCAGCCTGGGATACATAGTGAGTTCCAGGTCAGTCTCTACTATATAATGAGACCCTGTCTCAAAAAATTTAAAAATAAAATAAAATAAAATAAAATAACATCCAAAACATCTCCTGGTAATTTTTATTTTCTCCCTCCATGATAATTTTTATTTTAAAAACAACAGATGAAGGGAGGTTGACAGTGATGCAAGAAAATTTAAGGGACAAAAGAGCAACAGGATGAGGCAGAAACTGTAAAATTTGTTGAGTCCTTTTGAAGGTACATTACAGAAGGAAAACTGATACTGTATCTGAAATAGCTTATGTAACATTTAACCCCTTCCACACAAAATACCTACAGCAGCTTCCCACTGCCTCACTGAAGCACCCACAGGGTGAAGTCCAAAGCATCCAAATAGGGAATATGGGAGTCACTGTGTTCACCCATCATCCAGCATGGACTCTTCCTCTCCCTTCCCTCAAAGACTTATTTCTACTTAGGCACATCTACAGTCATCCTTGATAGCCTTCCCTCTTCTTGGAAAATTCAAATCAACTGACTTTAGATACACCAGTCAATCTCCTTAAGCACTAGATTCTTTATTTGTAAAGTAAGGTAACATCCACCTCATAAAGATACTATAGAATTACGAGGCAATCCTTGTAATGCATGGAGGGCTGTGCCTAGCCTATTTTAGTGCTCAAAAAGTGATAGCTCTGTCTTTAAAGGCAAATTGCTCTCTAGACGAACAAGTTTCACCATGATCCTCTCTCACCATCTCTATCCTTTCCATTTGTATTTGGCATTTGGTATTTTTAAAGTGTCATTTCTTATACAGTTGCCTCTTCATTCATCTTTTAGTAGCCTCTGGACTCAAAATACCTGATGTGATTTTTGTCTTTGCCACTTGCCGATATGTCTTTGGGCAAAGGCATTACCCATCTGAGCCTTTATTTCCTCATCTTAAATTGGTTCACATATACATACTCACCCAAACAAGGTGAGAAACTATACTACTGCTCTCAGTATACTACTTAGCAGACAGAAAATGCATAATAAATGCTATCAGGCAGGAAGACTGAACTGGTTAAAAGACGTTAGATCTATGACATCAGTCACAGATGCTTTCCCCATCTGGAAAATGAAACTGGACCAGTTATCTCTAAAAGGCCTTTCTGAATCAGATATATGATGACTAAGAACAGTCAAATGGATAAATTGATTCTGCATATGAGCTTATATCTACTAAATCTCTCCACACAGACATATCCTCCTCCCAAATTCTTGTTCATTCTGCCTGGATGTAGTGTTCCTGAAGCAATTCTCAGGACCTCAGTTCCCTCACCTGTACAATGGGGATGGAAAACGCCAACCCTGAAGGATGAGGCATAAACCAAAACACATGTGGAAATTTTCGTGAATACAAAGCCCACACATAATGATGTCACCACATCAATACCAATCTCTTCGGTCATGGACCTTACAGGCAGCAGGCAGAGCTGAACAGTGGATGTAGATTATAACCTCAGCCAGGCATTGAGAGCTACGACTTCAACTTCGTCAATGAAATCTTGCAGGGTAGGTGTGATTAACCCCAAAGAATGGGGAGCAGCCAGTGCCCTCTCTGGACCGAAAAGGTCAAATCCCGGATCACAGTCACTCGAAGCTCAGCCCCAGCCACGCCGGCAACATTACAGTATTTGCGCTTATTTACACACAGCACCTACGTAGCTGGGACCAAGACTTCAGAGCCTGGAGGAGGTTGGGGCGAGAGCACATGGAGCCACGGGCAAGTCTTCACGGAGCCCGTGCGGTCCTACCTGGCTTCGCTCTCGGTGTTCTCTCTGCCGAGACTTAGCCGCCTTGCGAAAAGCAGCCGCCATTCCTGCCCACTGAGCCCTTAGAAGATTAGGGTAAAACGCTCGTTCCTCACTGCTTCGCCGCCGTTTCACCCACCCTTCCGGAAACAGACCCTGCCACCACCCGCTTGGAACCGCCCACTTCCGTCGCGCAGCCTATCAAGATCCTGAATTCCCAGAAGTACGTCCCCCATATCAGGCTGCACTCGCGGGCAGCTTCTGGGAGTTGTAGTTTCCTTTGTCTAGTCATGTGGCATTATGAGAGGCAGCTCTTATTTGCCTGAGAAGGTCCACGCCTTTGCGCCGGGCCGCGCGGGGGGCACCTGGGAACACGTGGCTGGCACTTCCCTCAGTTCTAGCTGGGCTTTGTATGTGTGTGCGCATGTGCAGTCTCCTATGGTTTGGACTCATTTCCGTTTTTACGCGGTACATTTAAAACTGGGAGCTCTGTGAATTTTACAGTGTACTATACTAGAGCACAAGAGATGTTAAAGATATATCTGGCTCTGCCACTGACTTACTGGGTGTGTGATTTTGTGCAGACTTTTTGCCTTTAATAAGCATCATTTTCCTCACCCATAAAACAAGGATAATAATAGCATGCGCGTCTTGTCTCATAGGGCCCGTATTGAAGAGCCATACCTGTAAGAAGCATAAATGGGTAGTTTGTTTCCTTATTTTTCGTATTGGGTATTTAACTAGGGTCTTCGCACTGAGAGCTATATCTCTAGCCCTTATTTTACTTTTTATTTTTGAGAGAATCTTGCTACATTGCCGAGACTGGACTCAAACTCGGGATCTTTCTGCCTCAGCCTCCCAGAGTGCTAGGATTACAGTTGTGGGTCCTCATGCCTGATTTAATAGCAATAGTTTTAAAGTTCTAAGACCTGCTGGAAAAACTGGCGATACACATGCTAAAGATTGAATCCGGCCCAATATATCTTAGCATGTACTAAAAATGTTTCAAAAATTTAAATATTAAAACAATCTGGGCCAGGGATTTAGCTCAATGGTGCCACCTCCTGCCTCACATGCACAAGGTCCTGAGTTTGATCCGGGGGGGGGGGGGAACAAAACATATACACACATACATATACACAATCTGCTAAAAGGTAAGACTCTTCAAGACAAGGGTATAGGCACAGACTTTGAATAGAGCCCCACTTGCACAAGAATTAACACCAAGAGTCAACAAAGCAGATTATATCAAAAACCTTCTGCACAGCAAAGGAAACAACTAACAGTGAAGAGACAACCTACATAATGGGGGGAAAACGTTTTGCCCACTACTCTTCAGAGAATTCATATGTAGAATATACAAATAACTCAAAAAAATTAGACCCTCCTAAAAATTAAAAGACCCAAACAAAAAAATGGGCAACTGAAATGAGTAGACAGTTCTCAGAAGAAGTAAAAATGGCCAGTAAATATACTAAAACATGTTCAACATCTCTAGGCCATTAGAAAAATGCAAACTAAAATAATACGAGGCTCCGTCTCCAGAAAGAATGGTTATCATCAAGAAATCAAATAACAGCAAATGCTGGCACAGCAGCAGGGTAAAAAGGAACCGTTTTTCATTGTTGGTGGCAATGTAAACCAGTACAACCATTATGGAAATCAGAATGGAGATTCCTCAAAAAACTAAAACTAGAAATTCTATTCAACCCACTTATTCTGCTTCTAAGTATTTTCCTAAAAGAGTTAAAGACACCATGTTAGAGTGACACATACACACCCATGTTTATAGCAACACAACGCATAATAGCTAAATCTTAGAAGTGACCTGTATGTCCATTGACAGATGAGTGAATAAAGAAAATGTGGTATTTATACAAAGTAGTACTCTGCCATAAAAAGGATAGATTTGAGTCATTCATGGGAAAATGGATGCACCGTGAGATGATAATGGCAAATGAAATAAATCAGGCACACAAGTTTAAATATCCCATGGTTTCCCTTATATGAGAAACCCAAAGCATAAATAATTTAAAGAGCAAAATAAAAAATAGATAATAGGAAACAGGGAGATCTTTTGCAAATGGGAAACAGACCAAGAGATAGAGGGAGGAAGTGAGAAGAGGGGAAAGAAAAGTAAAAAGAACTAAAATGTGTAATGAACATATACCAAATCCCCTGGAAAGATGTATCATTATGTACTGCAAACATGTACCAACACAAATTTTTTTAAAGTTCTGAGTCCGTCACACCCCCACAAGAATTGCTGGCCGACAGGATGAGTGTCAGAGGCACTACAGTGTAATGGTTAGGACCATGAACCATGAAGGGGTTCTGATTCCAAATGAGCCTTGGTCTCTCCACCTGTAAAACGAGGTAATAATACTATACCCACAGGCCTGTTGTGAGAATTAAATAATAGGTTCAAATATACATAGTTGGGCATGGTGGTGTGCACCTGCAAGCCCAGCATTCGGGAGGCTGAGGCAGGAGAATCACTGCAAATTCAAGGCCAGCCTGGACTACATAGTGAGACTGTCTCAAAAAAATAAATAAAATAAATAAATAATAAAGCGCTCAATACTGTGTTCACCATTAGTAGGTTCACATTATAATGGGGCTTCACTGTTATTTTTCTTAGTATCATACCTACACTAAGTCCAGAGAGAGAGTTGGACACAGAAAAGCAGCCCAGAGGAATTTGGTTTCTTCTCCACTACATGAAGCTGACTTTCAGCAGGTTCTGCAAGTGTATCCTCTTCTCACGACAGTGGTCACCCCTCCAGCTGAGGAGCTCTAGGAAAATCCTCTCCTCAGAGATTCCCCAGAGTTGCCAGCCCAGCCAAGCAGCGGACATGGAAGAGCTGACAGTGAGTGAGATCTGCTATGTGAGAAGTTTTTTCCCATCTAAGCTTTGACCAACTAGGACCACACGCACTAACAAAATTTCATCTTGTTTTCCACTTACCATTGGAAGACTAACTCCTTCCTGATCTGACCTGCGCCCACCTTTCTGGCCTCATCTCAGTGAAAAAGCCTTGTGAGACACCGTGGAGGTACACACCTAGAATCCCAGCACTCAGGAGTTTGAGGCAAGAGAATCACATGTTCAAAGCCAGCCTTGCCTATATCGGGCCAACATATTAAGATTGTCAAAAAAAACAAAGCAAAACATGATGGCACGACACAATTCCAGCATACTGGGAGGCTAAGGTAGGAGGCTTGCAGGCTTGAGCCCAGCCCGGGAAACTTAGCAACTAAGCAAGACTGTTTCTCAAAATAAAAATTAAAAAGGGGGCTGAGACTAGCTCACTGAAAAGACCTTGGGTTCAATCCCCGGCACCACAAAAAAGAAAAGGAACAAAAAGACAGCCACCAGGCAGAGTGACTAGGTGGCAGCCCCGGCCACTTCCCTTAAAGAATCTTGAGTAACTAGCAGAGAATCCAGCTCTGAGCACTGAAAACCCTGTAGTCAGCCCTGAATTGGAATTACACATATACCATTTCTTGCCTTTTAATTTGGAGCCACACTGTCAAAAAAAAATCTCTGATCCATGGGCTGGGGATTTAGCTCAGTGGTTCTGCCTCCTGCCTTGCAAGCACAAGGACCTGAGTTCGATCCCTGGTACCAAAAAAAAAAAAAAAAAA